ACCCACATCCACACCCACACCCTTTCTCTTTCGAATGATGAAAACTGCAGGTCGATAGCTGCTTGCGTTCTTGAGTTATTAAAAAACAACGAACTGTATTCTATTTTGAAATGGATAGTAATTTTAGTCGTTCTTGCCTCTTTTATATATATATATATATATATATATACATAGAGAAAAATGATAGCTTTTTCTCTTTCTCTTAGTCGTATAAATACCATTAACACAGCTGTCAATATACGTGATTTGATTTGCACACACTCACAAAGCAAAAGTACATACAATATTTCTTCGAAATCGTTGATAAACTACAACCATCATGGGTAATAAAGGAGCCAAAACACGTGGATCAACAGCATTAACTCCAAGACGTTTGTATTTTTTGTATTTTTTTTATTTTTTTATTTTTTTGAAAATAATTTTTTTGAAAATTCTAGAAATTGCTATGCTCCAAGCAAATACAAATTATACGGAAAGAGGTAGATAATATTTATGGTTTTTTATTTTGAATTTTTTTATTTAATTTATTATTATTATTTGTAGAAATTCGAGAATGGCATGAGGTTAGTTAAATAGAAATATATACTCATAAAACATATTTTCATTTATTTATAGGGCTTTCTTCGTGATTGTCCTAATGGTCGACTTGATAAGAAAAAGTTTCGCGAAGTCCACAGACAATTTTATCCTCAAGGCAAAGCAGACAACTTCTGCAAGTAAGATAATATCATTTTTTTGTTTTGGTTTAATTTCGAACTGTTTTCTTAATGTTTAGACATGCATTTGCTACATTCGATCAAAATAATGATGGGACAATTGACTTTGATGAATTTCTTTTAGCCATTTCGGCTACAAGTCAGAGTAATCTCGATGATCGACTTTCAGTTGCATTTGATATGTGAGCTTTGTTTTTTTTGTTATTTATATCATTGTTACATTGTTGTCTTAGTAAATAGGTATGATATATCAGGTGACGGATTTATTAATCAAAAGGAATTGTTTAAGATGCTTAAGAACAAAAAGATAAAGACTTTTTTTTTAGAAAAGAAAAATACAA